TCGATTCTCAGGACCACATATAAATAAATAAAATAAAGGTCTATCTAAAAAAAAATATTTTTAAAGAATAAAAAATAAATCAATCTCTCTCTCTCCCCTTCCCCCCTCCCCTCACACACATCCAGTTGGTTCTGCTTTTCCAGAGAATTCTCACTAATACAAGGTGTCTCGGGGTAGTCAGGGGAGGGGTAGTCAGGGGGCACCATGTGGTTTCAAAGTAGGAACAGAGAAACCTTCGAGATCATCCTGCCCAGTGGTTTTCTGTTTCATTTCAAAGCTAAACTGTTCATGCAGCCGGTTTGGAATCTGAGAGATGCTGGTTAGGATGGAATGGATCTGTTAATCCCAGGGACTGGGCTCTGATCTGAGCACTTTGCGTAGTATCTCATTTAACCCCTACAGTCACACCAGGAGGGGGATATTGCTATTTGTCCCGTTTTAAAAGTGAGTCAACAGGCTCTAAGCAATGAAGCAGTCTCCCAAGGTCTCACTAATAGGGCCAGAGCTGGGATTGGAATCCAGAGCCTTCTTCTAAGCCCTGTGAAAGACTGTCACATCGTCCCACCTACTCATATATTTAACTCCTCAAACAAGAGCTTTTCTGTTTGAAATGGGCAGGGATTCCAGAGCCCTGATCAAGCCTCCCCTTTCCTCACCTCTAGGGCCCCTAGAGCACCCCCAGAACCCGAAGGCTCCTTTGGAATGCAGTTTACAGACTCTGGTCTATTCCAACTCCTTCATTTTAAAGAAAAGGGGGAAATCGGTTCCAGGGAAGGTAAGCAGCTCTCCCAAGGTCACTCAGCCGGACAGTGGAAAGCCAAAGCCAGGACTAGCAACCCAGGGTCTTCACTGGGGTTGACAGTGACCAAATGCATTGTTACGTCGTGTACGTGGATGAATATGTAACAACGAATTCCACCAGTATGTGGGATGATTATATAGTTACAATGCACTGATAAAAATATGGGGGAAAGATAGATAAAAATGAGTAGTTGCCAAAAAAAAAAAAAAAGAAAGAGAGAAAGTGACCCAAGGTTTTCCATTCTATCAGGAGCCTCTGGTGGCTCCACGAAGGTCCTCAGATAGAAGGTGGGAGTTGGGGATCCTCGGTGACACAGGGAAAGGAGCTCTCAGGACCAGGGTCCCCCCAATCCATCCTCTGGGTGGGCTAGTGCCATTGTCTTCCCAGGTGCGTCCTGCTTTAAGGAAGCATCAGGTGACTGTCCCCCTTCTACACTGAGAAAGGAAGTGGCCCGAGCCTGGGCCCCAGACCAGGCCCAGATGGCAGCCCTTGGGCTCCCGAGCTGGCATTCTGGTCCTCCCCCTTGGGTTTCAGCCTAGAGGGAAACTAGGATTTTGAACCAGGCTCTGAGTCCCTCTGCCTCCCTCTGAGGTCTCCCGTGTTCACGGGCCCCTAGAGCCCCTCCCTGAGGCCTTGTGGGAATCCAGTTTGGACCAAGGAGCTCCCACACGGCCCTCGAGACCCAGCCCACCCTTCCTGCTGAAGCCGGGCAGCCTCTCCTGCACACTGGGCACCCTTACACCACAGCTGTGTGTCTGTCTTCCATGGCCAGTGGCTGGCTCTTGGCACCTGGCACAGTATAGGTCCAGGTGACAGCTCTGCTTATGAGCGTCAGGTGGCCACACAGGTGCATGGAGGGGTGACGTAGCAGGGTTCACTGAAGAGGTCTCCGGCTTTCACGGAGTCCCACAAGGAAACTTTCCAGGCCCTTCCACTGCCTGGGCCTCAGAGAGAATCCTGAGCCCAGCTCCCTTATCTCTAATGACAAGTGACTCATCCAAGGTCACACAGGGTGTCCAGGCCACCCCTCACCGTCATCTCATCCTCTCTGTATCCTTCACTCAGAGCCGTGGTCCCTGGCATTAGCCCCCCTTATTCACACACAGAACCTCATTGTTCTACCCATAACCAGCCCCTGAGAGACGCAGGACAAGGCTCCCTACTAACCCCGTCACACACAGCCACGGCCCCGCGAAGTCAAAGGCTCCCGGTCCCTGCCGCCTCTCTGCCTGCACGCCTGCTACACCTGGACAGCTGTCCACCTTAGTTCCTTGTCCACCCTGCTTGTCGTTGAGTCTCCTAGAACCAGGTTGGACTCCAGGTTCCCTGACTCCCTCCAGCATCCCGTCCAGCCCGACTATGGGCCGGGGGTGTGGGGAGAAAAGCCACAGGGCAGGGCCTCCAGGGGGAAGCAGATGGCTGCCCCAGTCTCCCAGATCGAGGGCTTCCTCAGGGCCTGTCACCCCCAGCAGAAGCTCCCTCAGTGCTGAAAGCCCTGTGGAGACTGTGAATTCAGGGCCCTGACATTCTGCGCCCCACCCCACCCGTCACCTAATCTAGATGCTGGCCACAGCTCAGGCCAGACTTGAAGACAGAGAAACCAGAGGGCTCAGGAAGCCTTTGAGCTGGGCTCTGAGTAGAATGTGGGCTGGAGCTTCGTCTACCTGGCCCCTCCCAGGAACAACCTGTACAACTCTTTCTGGTGGCCCTGGGTGGGTGGCTGGGAGGGTGGATGATGGGATGGATGGACGAGATGACTGGTTAGAGGATGGATGGGTGGGTGGATGGGTAATGGATAAAAGGATCTATTCACTTTGTGCCACCACAAACTCCAGGTTCCAAAGCACAGAGGGTGGATCCACTTCTTCCTTTGCCACCTGTGAGGCCAGGCCTGCAGAGGGTGACATTGGGCTCTGGTGCCAGGAGTCTCCCCTCTTTGTGGGACTGGCCCCTGGGCCTTTGGTAGCTCAGCCCTGCCACCTAGTGGTGCTCTGGAGTATAGCCCTGGCTTCCTCCCCTCTTTCTGGCCAACCCCCCACTCTCCACCCGAGCCCAGTGGGGCTGCCAAACAAGCTTGGCCATCCACCGTCCTCTCTGGTCCACAGCAGCAGGGCCAGGCTGGGATCTGGGTGAGATTAGGGCCACCTCTTGCTCACCTTGGGAGCTTTACATGAGTCAAGATCCCCTGTCAACCCAAGCACTCGGGCCAGGTCAGCTGGGAAACCCAGGACCAAGGTAGGAAGTAGCCAAGGAAGACTGTAGCCAGAGGTGACACACTGAGTGTCCCTAGGACTTCCTTCTAGCCCTACCCCCCAGCTGCCTCCTCTCCCAGCACCTCTGGAAGTTCCTGGGTGAGGGGAAGGGAGGGGCTGGAGGGGAGGGGGAGGGGAAACTAGCTTATGCAGCCTCAGGTGGGTGGGGTGGGGGCTGTTATTAGACAAAATGCAAACCCCTCCCTCGCAGTGCCTCTCCACATCTCTGGCTGTCATCCTAAGCCACCAGCAAGTCCCAGGCAGACCTCTTGGGAGGAGGGCGACACCATGTGGCTGATTTGGGTATTGCAGAATTTCCTGTGGGACGCCTAACCACCTGCAGGGTATCCCCCAGTCCTTCAGTTAAGGACCATAAATAACCCTCTGCCCTTCACCCATGGCCAACCGGCCTGGAAGGCCATCCACACACACGCTCCCATAGGCTTAATCCCTTGCACATTTCCAGCCACACAATCCTGCCTCCAACACCCAGCGGAAAGGCCTCGACTCCCCCAGAGACACCTGAAAAGCCCAGTGTCACCCTGCCAGCCTGGGCAAGAGATGTGACCACCAGCCTCAGTCACCTCATCTGTAAGATGGGGATGGCACTGGGGCCTGCCAGACGCTGTGAGCAGTGATGAGGTCAGGCTCGCGAGTACTTGGTGCTCAGTAAGTGCTGCAGAAATCCTCTCCCCAGCCCAGCTCGGACTGCAGCATGGAGCGAGGCAGCAGGAAGAGAGGCCACTGGGGAGGACCACATGAGCAAGACTCCAGGGCAAGAGGGAGCCCTGCCCACTGGCAGAGTTGACACAGTGGCCTTCTTGGGAACTGTGTGGGGCACAGCTGGTTTGAGGATGCGGTTGGGGGTGGGGACATGGGGCAGGGAGCTGGGAGGGCTGATTCTGTCAGACCCCACATCGCGGGAAGGCTGGGCCCCATCTTAAGGGCAGTGGAAGCCCCCCCAGCTTTAGCCAGGGCAGGGACTTGACTCGATTTACACTTTCAAGTCCCACGGGAAGCTGGTGCAGAGCTGGATTAGAGAGAGTGCTCAGGAAATGGTGGCTGCCCTTGGCCATCCAGGGGAGGCGCTGGCAGGTGAGCCAGGTGCTACGGGGGAGCTCAGCGACTCTAGCTGCATTCGGGGCCCTAGTGATTGATGGAATGTGGGGCGAGGAGAGGAAGGCATCTGGCAGGGCCACGGGTTGGAGGGTGGCATTGGTCCAGAGCCTGCTGCAGGGGCTCCTGTGACTCCTCCATGATCTGGGACAAGACACCAACTTCTCTGGAGCAGTGATGGCAAGACCCTAGCCTTTCCAGGAACACATGAGAATAGGGATCGAAAAGCCCAGCAGCCAGCCCGTCCTCCACTGACTCTGATCTGAGGCCTCTTAAGTCACCCCAAGCTGCCACAAGGGGAGGGATGTGGCTTGGCTTCTTTGCAGTACTCCCAGAGCCAGCCACACGCCACCCACACACCTTCCACACGCCACCCACATGGCTTCCACAGGCCATGCAACACCTCAGCCACGTGGCCACCATGTGTCATCCACGTGACCTCCAGGTGCCTTCCCCACACCCTCCCCACGGTTCCCACACCCCAGCCAACGAGCCATCCGCACACCACCACATGCTACATGCGACGCACACGCCCTTCCCCACGCCATTTGCATGCCTCAGTGTGCCAGCCAGACGTTCACACCACGCACAAGGTTACCCTGCTCATCCTCAAGCCACCTGCCACGCCCATGCCACCCACCACCTGCCACGGGCCACCCACACGCTCCTACACACCGCCACCCAGGGAGCCCAGCCTCCTTTCCCACGTGAGAACCAGGCACCGGCTCAGAACCCAAGGACACGTGCCAGCAGAGTTCCAGTCTGAGCTGGGCTGGGCCACGGCTTCCCCGGTGACCCGGTCCCCCAGCTCCAGTCAGCCAGCTGCTCACCTTTGCAGGTACAGCCCTCCCGGGTGATGGCCTGTCGGCAGATACCACAGGGCTTCACCTTCTTGAAAGTCTTCACCTTGAAGTGGTGGGTCTTGGGGGCCTCCAGATCCTCTGGCTGTGGAAGGAGAGGCACAGGGGTCAGCCTGGAGTGAAGGCTGGGGTCCTGGGGAGGGGCTGGGGCTCTGGAGGAGGAGGAGGGAGGAGGGGAGGCCAGAGCCCCTTTGTGGGCCGAAGGAGGGAGGAGGTGCCCAGGGACGGTAAACAGGGTGAGGTGACAGGACACTCACCCTGGGCTCAAGGACTTGCATGGAGTCAATGATGGGGGTTCAGACAGCACCTGAAGACCCGAGAACCCAGGGATCACAGACCCTCTGTGTCTTACCACTCTTTTTTTTTTTATTTACTTTATTCTTGGGGCATGGCTTTCCCATAGTGTAGTGCAAGAGTTAAATGTGCAAGAGCAACTTGGGCACAGTGGTGCACGCCTATAAACCCAGCAGCTTGGGAGGCCGAGGCAAGAGGATCACAAGTTCAAAGCCAGCCTCAGCAGAAGCAAAGCAATAAGCAACTCAGTGAGACCTGTCTCTAAATAAAATACAAAATAGGGCTGGGGGATGTGGCTCAGTGGTCGAGTGCCCCTGCATTGAATCCCTGGTACTCCAAAATAAATAAATAAATAAATAAATAATTAAAATTAAAGAGTTTAAATGTCCTGCTTAATTGAGCTGAGCTGTGGCTCAGAGGTTGTCTGGTGTGTGGGAGGCCCTGGGTTCCATCCCCAGCACCCCAAAACAGAAAGGTTTTGCTAAATACAACTTGATACATGTGCACCCCATATAGCCAAGCCCCAGAAGGCTCACCGTTGACCCCTCCCAGTCAGCGCCTCCCCTACATAAATCTCACTGGGACTTCTCTCCAAAGAATCATTGTGAGTCTTTTTGGTTTGGGGGGGTTTCGTTGGTGATGGTGGTCTTTGGTGGTGGTGTTTGGTGTGTGTGTGTGTGTGTGTGTGTGTGTGTGTGTGTGTGTGCGCGAGAGAGAGAGAGAGAGAAAGAGAGAGAGACAGAATGGTGTGTGATGCAGTACTGGGGATCAAACTCAGGGACATTCTGCCACTGTGTTGAAGCCCCAGTCCTTTTTTTTTAATTTTGAGACAGAGTCTAGCTGAGTTGCTGAAGTTGGCCTCGAACTTGTGATCTTCCTGCCTCAGCCTCCCCGGTCTCTGGGCTGAGAGGTGCATGCCCTGGAGCTGGGCACCATTTTGCCAGGGTTTTGACTTCCTGACGTGGCACTGCACAGTGAGTGCTCTGTCTCCAGCTTCCCTCATGCAACACTAATCTGTGAGATGCCCCCGCATTGTCCCATGTCCCTTCTGAGCCCGTGCTCTGTGGTATTGCTCTTACGGATACAACAGGCACCCATCATTTCACTGCTGATGGTCCTCGATGTGCCACCCATGTCCCAGCAGGTGGGTTCCTCCCCTCTCTCACTCTCTGCCCCTCCCCACCACCCCCAGTGCAGGAGGCCTTTATTTTTACTTGCTATTCTCTGCATTATGAAAACACGCACCACATTTTTGTCTGTTTGTCTCTTGGGCGGTCTGGGATTGACCCCAGGACCTTGTGCATGCTAAGCACGCACTCTACCTCTGAGCTACGCTCCCAGCTTATGAAAATGTTAAAATTCCTATTTTAAACTGCACTGCCAAGCACGTGAGAAGAGGGAAGACAGGTGGTTCGACTCCTCCTCTCTGTCTGATTTGCCAGAAGTCCTTGGCCCACTAACCACTCCCCTTCCAAGGGCCACAGCACCACACCCCTCAAGTGCTTGTTGACTTTTGTTTTGTTGTTGTTTGTTTGTTTGTGTTTGTACTGAGGATTGAACAACCAGGGGGTGCTCTACCACTGAGCCACATCCACAGCCCCCCCTTTTTTTTAATATTTTATTTTTTATTTTTCGGCAGACACAACATCTTTGTTTGTCTGTGGTGCTGAGGATCGAACCCGGGCCGCACGCATGCCAAGCGAGCGTGCTACCGCTTGAGCCACATCCCCAGCCCCATCCACAGCCCTTTTTAATTTTTATTTAGAGTCAAGAGTCTTGCTAAGTTACCTAGGGCCTTGCTAAGTTGCTGAGGCTGGCTTTGAACTCATGATCCTCCTGCCTCAGTCTCCCAAATCACTGGGATTACAGGCATGTGCCACCACATCCAGCTCCCCCAGCCCTTTTTTAAAATTTTTGTTTTTAGACAGAGTCTTGCTAAGTTGCCCAGGTTGGCCTTGAACTTGTGAACCTCCTGCCCCGGCCTCCTGGGTGGCTTGGATCACAGGTGTGCGTCACTGCACCCAGGTTTTATCCGTCTTTGTAACCATGCATGGAAACACACTGAATTGCAAAACCCCTCATAGATGGGCCCACTCTGGGATCCCAGCCCAGGCCCAGGCTGGGGGAGCTCCCAGGTCAGAGGACTCCCAGGGAGAGACTCCTGCCCCAGGCACTCCCCTAGTGTCTACCCCAACTCTTCCTTCAGGGGCAAGGAGTTCACTGCAGAAGGGAGTCCTGGGGGAAAGAGAGCATTAAAAAAAAAAAAAAAGTAAGAAAATCAGATAAAATGAAACAGAGTCCAAGACAGAAGCCAGAAAGGCAAAGAGGCAGAGAGAAACGGAGACAGAGAGAGTGAGAGAGAGAGAGAGAGAACCAGGCGGTGGGGGTAATAGAGACAGACGAGGGGGAAAGAAGACCAAGATAAAGACAGAGACAGGACAGCACACAGGAGCATGAGTAGATGAAGACACAGAGACCCAGAGGGACCCAGAGGATCACAGAGGGACAGACGGACAAAAGGACACGGGAGCTGCCAACAGCCAAATCTGCAAAGATCAGAGCATCCAAATACATAATGATAGTGAAGGCTTCAATGAGCCCATTGTGGTACAAACAATGAATGAGTAATTGAATGTTTGATGAGAAATAGAATATTTACATGGTCTTAAGGCACTTTCCACCTCATAGTTATAAATTATAAGGGGGGGGGGTGCGTTACTTTTCCCGGCAGACTCCACTTTCATCAAGTGATCAAAGTTCCCATTCCCAGTGAAGGGACAAATGGAAGTCACGGGCCTCGGAGCAGGTGACAGAGCAGAACATCACTTCTTCCATATCCCTGCCAAAAAGCCACAACCTGAATCTAATCAAGAGGAAACATCAGGCCAACACAGACTGAGGCACAGTCTTCAGATTAAATGGCCTGGCATCTTCAAATGTGATGAGGTCATAAATATCAAGGCAGACAGAGATTCCCGGGCTGGAGGAGACTGGACGAGTGACAACCAGACACAAGGGCACATTCTGAACTGGAGTCTTTGGATGCCCATAAAGGACATCGTGGGGACAACTTCCAGGGAGCCTGAGGATCAGACAGCAGTATGCGTCAATGCCAATCTCCTGATTTTGATGGCTGTGCGGGATTAGGTAGGAGTCCTTAAAGAAAACTCAGGAAAGTATGCGGGGAGTGGGTGGGGGGCCATGTGTCAGCAACTAACTGTCCAGTAGTTCAGAAAGAAAAGGTGGTGACACTGTGCACTCAGCCTGTCTGAAGTGTAAGACTGCTTTGAAATTCAAAGAGACGGAAAGAGGAGGCAGGAGGGGGTAGCCTTGGAAGCCCAGGTATAAAGGTCCAGAGAGCAAAGCACGGCAGCAGGAGGGGGCAGAGCCCAGCAGGCCCTGATGCAAGCCCCTAGGAACCAGGCAGCGGGTTCTAGGAGCCTCAGCCTGGGGTGGGAGGGGGCCTCCCTCAGTGCTCCCCACCCCACAAGGAGGGTGGTAAGTCCCTCTCAGTCTGCCGTCTCACCTCCTGCTCCCCATCCTAGGCGCAGGCTGGCAGCCTTCCCAGGAACTCTGTCACAGACATTCCAGGGAGGGGGCCCAGGCCAACGTCAACTGCAGAACCCCTGGCCTGGGACAGGGGAGGTGCAGGGAAGGGGCCTGGGCTCAGTCTAAGAGCTCTCTCAAACCTGAAGCACCCCCCAAGCCTGCCTCTCCCCACTAAGTCCGGCCCAGCTTCCTGTCCCAGCTGTTCCCCAAATCTCCTCCCCACAAAGCCCAGGGAAAGAAGCCAGCTCCCGAGCACGGTAGGGCAGTGGAGGCCTTGCTGCCCAGGGAGCTGATGGGCAGCGAGCAGAGGCTCCCAGACTGGCCAGCAAATGCCCAGGCGCCCCGTCCCTGGCTCCCATCACCTGCTCAGCCCCGTAAAATCTGCGTTCACAAAATCTCCCCCACCGTGGTGGAGGACAGGTACAGTCTTAGATACACCCTGAGCCCCCTAAGCAGCCCCCAGGGACGCCCCAGCACATCCCTGCCCCTGACAGTCCCTGGCTCAGGATGCACTGGGATGGGAGACTCAAGATCTGCCTCCTATGCTGTGCAGCCTTGAGAACCTCTGCAGCCTTCTCTGGGCCTCACAGTCTCCAGATGCAAATGGGGGGCTTTGAGCCAGACAGTCTGAATCAGACAGTATGGGACACAATGGGACAGTCCTTTTGAGATGAAGGGCTTGGGAGCAGTGGATGGGACATGCTAATAGTGACAGAGCAGAAGGTTTGAGGAGACCTCAGGCCTCTGATAAGAGGCTGTGAAACGCTGGTGTGAAGGAGGAGACCAGCTCCCAGCAAGTGGCCCCAGCTCTGTGACCTCCACTCCCCTGCTGAGAAACAGGTGTTCTGTGATCTTGTGGAAAGGGCAACCACAAATGGTGGAGTGTCTCCCGAAATGGTGGAGGAGACCACTTAGGTGCATTAGCCTCCTGCCTTCCAAACCTTAAAGGGGCTGTCATTGGAGAAGGGAGCAGATGTGCTCCGTGAGGCACCGAGGGCCCAACAAGCGAGGGGCCCCGCTACCCAGAAGCACAAAGACACTCACATGGTGAAAGGTGGATTGAGAGAGAATCGGGGTGTCTGGCTGCCCCCCTGCCCCCTCCCCAGGCTGACTCTGCAGGTACAGGCAGAGGATGTCAGCGAACCCCATAAAGTAAACGAGCCCATAAAGCGCAAAGTGCCGTTCCAGGTCAACGGCTTGTTGTGACAGTGATCATCACCTTCCTGACAAGTGGCAGGTAGC